ATAACTACTTGATTCAAGAGCTCTTAGAGCAGATCGTCTAGTGGGTTCTTATCAGAATTTCTAACACACTTTAGGCCATTTCATAACAAATATAATCTTTTAATCACCATAAAATCATTGAATTATCATAATATGCTATGTAGAATAAATTCCATTAATCATTCAAACAACTTGAGTTCAACTTTGACTATTCAAGAGTTTAGAGAGAGAGAGAGAGAGAGAATATGATGCCAGAAAGACATGATACTGAAAAAACTTACAACTAATCAATCAACATCATAAAAGCAGGAACCAATTAGGTAAATTTTCACCAAAATTCATGAGGGATTGTGATTGGTCAAATTATTTTTTGGTGTTTAATTATTACACACCACACTAACAACACCTCTCCCCAAAGTCGATGGTTGTGGGAATTGAATCCGCCTCTATACTAGAGCAAACTAGTTAATATACCAACTGAGCCACCTCTTAGTTGGTTGGTCAATGCCTTTTCGGCATTATATATATAAATTGGTTTACACTTTATAATTTGATTTTTTTTTTCTAAATTAAGGAAATTAAACCAAAACTGAAAAAAAAAAGCAAATCTTCAACCATATCAAACCATTTCTTAGGTCCAAATCAAATCAAAACCACCGATTTCAATTTGGTTCCATATGTATTGACAGTCTCAACCATATAGTGAACACCCCTATGGATAGGCAGTGAAATGGGTTACTGGCACATAGGCAACAACCGAAGAGTTGATACAAAGCTGCAACTAAGACCCAAGCGATAGACCATAAGCAACTGATTTTTAAAAAGGACAAATTTTTTAAAACAATAGGAAATTGTCTAACTCCTCTTAGTATTTGCATATTGTCTTAAAGTACCTTTAAATTGTCTAACAATTGATATCATTACTAACCGCTAATGAAAAAAATGTCAAATTTACCTTCCACTATTTCTCAAAATTTCAAAATAAAACTCAACTTCATAAAAAAATTGTTTGGATGCACACAACGGCTTTTCAGGCAATAAAACCCAATTAATGAAAGTTTTCAGTTGGATTTAAAGCCCGTCTCATAAAGAGAAAGATGTTTGAAGCTATAGACATGCAAAAGCTCCACAAAACGGTACGAATCAAAATTGTTTCAGTTTTAAACACGCTAGAATCAAACTTGAAAAGACAAATTGTTTCAAGCTAAACCCTTGTTTTTTCTACAAAGACGGTACAGGATTCAAGGCCAACTGAGGTGTATCAGATTGGAATATCCATAGATCAAGGTGGAAAAAGATATTAGATTTCTATCTGGCATTTCATCGAAGATTTTCTCATGAGCAGATACGAAATCCGAGCAGGCGAGCACCTGGAATACGATTTCAAATATGCGCCCCCCTGCTGTGCGCCCCACAAACGCCCCATGCAACAGGAATGTGCCACATGTCTAAACACATGATTTCGTGCTTCCCGCATGCACGGCTACGGCGGTGAACTTGTCCTATTAGCTCCAAAACGAGCTCAAACCCCATTTTCACTATTCCTTCCTACTCCCACCCCCACTCCGAGACTCAAACCTGAGAAGCGAGAACCTCTTAACCCCGTTCTACTGCATTCATCTGAGCTCGGATACAGCTCCCTCTCCAGCACCGGCGAGGGCTCCATCTATTTCACCGTCACGAGGTGCTTTCAATTCTTTCATATCTTTAACATTTTTTGTAGGGATTAATTTTATTTGGCATTTTTTTTTTTCGTTTCAAGACAAAGGAGGGGGTTTTAATCATCCACCACCGGTCATTTCCGGCGACTATCGGCAAATGCATATAACCTAAGACTGTGAAAACCCAGACGTATTTCCTGTCATAGTGATTGAAACAGGATTAGTATTTTTCCCCTTTATCAGCATACCCCACTTTCCTTTAGACCAACAGAAACTTCAGTATATGTTAAATACAACAAACCACCTATTTTTTATTGATTTCTAACATCTTCGAATGAATATCCAAGAGTGTACTGGTAAAGAGGGAGCTAAATCCGAGCTCGGATGGAGGGAGTAGAACGGTGTCGGTGGTGGATGATTAAACTCTCCTCCTCTGTCTTTAAATGGAAAAAAAGAAAATATCGAATAAAATCAAACCCTAAAAAAGAGAGAAAAGAAAAGCGCACCACCTGATAGCTGATGTTCGTCGGAGATGGTCGGTGGCGGATGATTAAACTCCCCTCCTCCTCTGTCTTGAAATGAGAAAAAAAAAAGAAAATTGTCAAATAAAATCAAACCTTAAAAAAAGTGTAAAACATATGAGAGAGTTGGAAAGCACCTTGCGATGGTGAAGTGGCCGGAGCCCTCACTAGTGCCGGAGAGGGAGCTGAATCCTAGCTCGGATCTCAGGCTCAAGTCTCGGAGTGAGGGCGGGAGCAGGAATAGGAGTTTCGGCTTGTACTGGAGTTAACAACCGTCCCATTAGCCCTGCACACGGGAAGCACAAAATCGTGCATCTGGACATGTGGCGCATTCCTGTAGATTCGAATTCTTGGGATACAATTCCAAAATATTATTGAATAGTAGGGCTTTTGGTAAGAATCCTAATTTGATGTCAAGTGAAGAACGAGATTTCTAGCTATGTTCAAGAGATGTTTCTAATACAAGTTCTTACTTGAAATCTCTTTCCGGTAAGAATCCCGATTCGTTCTTCACTTGACTATGTTTTGGATGGCAGATACTTCTCGCCTATGCTCATTGCAAGAAATCACCATAGGTGTGTTGATCCTCATTTCGTATTCGCTCAAGGGTCTAGAAAATAGAAGTCATTATAGTCTGAAGTTCATAGAATTCCTTCCATTAACTAGAAATTCAAGGAAAGATCAGGTTTGACTAACCTGCAATGGAGAAGAACCTGAACATTAACACCTTTATCCTTGTCATGCTTTTTATTGTATTTGACAAAAACTACCTCTCTTTTGTATTTGACAAGGTTTGACACTTTATCATTCCCCCATTCATCTCAACTCCCATATTGATCTTGACAACTATGGAATTGGAACTTATGATCTGTTTTATTGTGTATTTTATAATTGTACACTATTTTGTGTAGGTTTTTGGTTTGGCATCTCAACAGGAGAATTTGGTTGATCAATTTGTTCTCCTATTGTCAATGAAGTTCTTGAAGGTTATAACAACACCATTTTCGCATATGGTCAGATGGGTCTCAACACAGGGAAAAGATGTACTGTAGAAATTCTATTGAAAGACGTACTGCAGAAACTCTGCTTTTCTTAATGATCACTTGGAATACGATCGTCATTTGACTCATTTCTACTGCTAGAAGAATTTCTCGACGAACAAATAGACATTTTGTGCGAAGAGCCACTCGCACACCATGATAGCAGATAAATCTCTGAATCTTCCAATGACAAGTATGAGAGATGCTCCTAATTCACACATATGTCAACTCAGCAATGAATCGCCATCAATACAAACCACTGATTGCATCACGTCTCCTTCCCAATACCGATTGGCTTTTGCCTAGATGCTTACAAACCACTTGCAATCTTGCCAGTAAATTCCCTTGCTTCTCTCCCAAGTCCCAAGGTTGCTCTTCGTCTTTGTGGGTGAGGATGCCAATGTTTCTAGAGTTGTTGCAGCTGCCGTTGGTAGGGATAGCAATTAATTCTCCCCATCCTCAATGGGGACCTGACTTTCCTAATCTGATGGGGTCGAGGATGGAGATTGTTTTGGCTGAGCGGAGACAGGGACAGAGATTAATAGGTATCCTTGATCGGGGTCAGAGTCGGGGATGGGGATTGAGGTCTCCGTTCTGCCTTGACCCCGATTATATATATACATATAAATGTTATTTATATTAGGGAAAATTCCTGATTAGTATCCTGTACTTTGGCTCAAGTGACAATTTGGCCCCCAAACTTCAAAATGCGACAATTTAGTACCCGAATTTTCAAAATGTGACAATCCAGTACCCGAACTTTCAAAATGTGACAATCCAGTACCTGTTGTTAACCATTCCGTTAACAAGCCGTTGTGACATTTGAAAAGTCAAAATTTCCCTTTGAATGCTATGTAATTCTTTTTATCAACCATCTAAACATTGACAAAAAATCTGAACAATCTCAAATTCTAGCCTCTTCTATTAAAAAAAGTTGATGATTGTTTAGAAGAATCTAGAGTTTGGGATTGTTTGTTTTATTGTCAATGTTTGAATGGTTGATAAAGAGAATTAGATGACATTCTTAGGGCATTTTTGACTTTTCAAATGTCATTTAACGGTTGATTAACGATAGGTACTGATATTAAATATATATTATTATATTAACGGCTGATATTCAAAAAAGTACAGGGTATTGATTGGGAATTTTCCCTTTATATTAAATATATATTATTATATTATTTATATTATATATCAAAACATTTTTAAACATTATTTATAATTAAAATTTTTTATTTATTTAAGTAAATTTATTTTTCAAAAAAACTATTATTTAAAAAAATTAAGGGATTTGGGTCCCGTAGGAAACCCATCCCGTTAGAGATTGGGGATGGAGGTTAATTTTAAAATCGGGGTTGGGGACGAGGAATATGATCCCTGCCCCGAACCTGTCCCGTTGCCATTCTGGTTAAGGTGTCGTCTTTTCCAATCCTGGAGCTGATGCTATAAAAATGTATTTTAGAAATTAAAAAAAAAATATATCAGTCACGCAATGCTACATGTAAACGGAGTATAACGTAAAGTTAACAATAAAGAACGTATTAGACAATTGTAAAAAACTTAAAAGGTAATTTTATAAGATATATATACAATATGGCTGTGTTTTTATAGATTTCTCTACGTTCTTCCTTTTCCTTCAAACCAAACATAGCCGAAGGGTGGAGTTAGTTAATTTCATATACCATGACGCCGAGAGCAATGAAGAAGCCGCTTCCACAACGTATCAATGGTGGGGCAAAATCGTCTTTTGATATTTCTGTCAACCATAACGGCCCCGTGTATGTTTCAAGTCCGATAAAAAAAGCTCGAGCCTCAGCCCTCAGGGCATGTAGCGTATGTCTAATTGTTTTGAAGTGTTTTGCTCTTTGAATAAATTAAGCTTCTTTCTCGGAATTCCTTTTTTTGTACCAAATCTTGGCTACCCGTATTGGCGAAACCTCTGAAACTCAGGTTTTTATTCTTCGACCACCTCTGTTATCCGAGGAGTTCCAAGATATTCGATCTGGGTAACGCTTCTTTTACTTATTCTTCTTTTCCTTCTCAGCCCCTTGTATTTCGAGTTGTCTTTGTTTCTCGGCCCGCGTATGCTATGTGTTTGAATTGGTTGATCTTTAGATTTTTTGCACTTGAAAGTCGTATTTTTGTTTGAATTCCGCAACTAGGGTTTTTTGGGTTCCTGAGAAAAGATGATTTTGGGTTTGGGTTCCGCAATTAGACCTTCATTTTAAGCAGAACAGAATGAAAACAAAACCTTCTTTCTTCTTCTTGTGTCGCCTTTAGTGGCACTATTTTACTGATACTTGTCCGTCTCCAATGCGTTATGGGCCCTAGGCTGTTGGCCCCCAACAACCAAAGTTCTATCGCCGGCTTGCGCAGTTGCGCTAACTGAAAACCCCTTGTCAAATTTTCATCGTTTCTCACTCGATCAGACCTTTTCTCTTTGCGCTCTTCCCCCCTGTTCAGGCCATGCGCTGGTGATTGAAGGGTTCATCTCCCCACTTCCTCATTCTTTATTCTGGCTGCGCCAGCCACCTAGTTTAGCTAGTAAATCGTTGGTTTGCAAAGGAGAAACGGAGTTTAGTCTTTAAACCTCCAGTTTGATAAACACAAGATTTATAGAGATCTCAATTTGTAGTTTTGAAATTTCCATTTCTGTAATTATTTAGAGATTTCAATATTCATTGCAGATAACGAGTAGCGAAGATGCTGCAAAGTCATCCGCCTCAAATTCTACAATCACCGGCTAGGCTTGGCCTCACGAACCCTAATTCACCCTCCCTCCCCAACCCAAGCACTCCTAAGCTTTCTTCCCAAAATCCTCAACACCACGCTCTTCACCTCCATCAACAACAGCAGCAGCAGCAGCAGCAACCGCAGCAGGCTCCATCATCGGTTGCCACGACTTCTTCAACACTACTCTCTCTCCTCCCACCTCACCCCCGAGCACAATCCCTCCTCCTTCAGATGGCCTCCCTCGCCACCCGACTCTTCGAAGTCTCACCCACTAGATCCTTCTGGCTCTCTTCCTTCCGTGGCTCCCTCCCAACCTTTCTCCCTTCCCAAACACCCCTCGATTCCTCTCCTTCCACCACTAAAGAAATCCTCTCCCTCTTCACTTCCCTCCAGACTCAACTCTTTGAGGCTGTTGCTGAACTCCAAGAAATTCTTGATCTTCAGGATGCTAAACAAAAAATTTCCCGTGACATCCGGGCTAAGGACGCTGCCATACTTGCCTTCGCTAACAAGCTCAAGGAAGCTGAACATGTCCTTGACATTCTGGTTGATGATTACTCTGATTATCATCGCCCAAAACGATCTAAACCCACTACCTCAGAAGGAAATCCAGAGAACCCTCCCTCCTATTCTTCTAGCACTACCATTACAAATCCACTTAATTTATCAAACATTCTCTCTTATGCACATCGAATAAGTTACACAACATTTGCCCCACCAGAATTTGGGGCTGGTCAGGCTCCCCTCCGTGGAGCCCTCCCACCAGCACCACAAGAAGAGCAGATGCGTGCTTCACAGCTTTACAACTTTGCTGATCTTGATGTTGGGCTACCCAAGACAGTGGAAACTAAAGAGAAGACTGTTGTGACGCTGATTGAGGCCCCTTCACTAAAACCGGTAGAGACCAATCCACCTATCGATTTGGCAGCAATTCAGGGACTTATTCCTCCACAACTCACAATCCCATCAGGCTGGCGACCTGGGATGCCGGTGGAACTGCCAGCAGATTTACCTGTGCCACCACCTGGTTGGAAGCCTGGGGATCCGGTGACTTTGCCTCCCTTGGATGCTCTTGTTGGTCCTAATAAGGGTGAGGATCAACCACCACGGCCTGCAGTCTCTCAAATGCCTCCCAAAGCACCTGAGCCCATACAGGTTCGGTATGTTCAACTTGATATTAACCCTGATCAGGATGACTACAGTAGTGATTATAGTAGCGATGTGGGAAGCTCTGAAGAGGATGATGAAGATTGAAAATTCAGTTGAGGATGTCAATTACCTGGGTTTTGACAAAATTTTCACGGTATTCTAGGCTGCAAAACTTACAGGTTGTACTGTTCCTTTCCTTTTGAAACTGCTATTGATGGAAATTTAAGGTTTGTAGTTGGTTCAAGGTTGGCTGTTTGGGGCTTTGAATCACAAGGTTCACAAATTGTGTTTTCTTGTATGAAGAATATCTTCATTGGTTGCATTAATGGTTCTTTCACAACTGCAAGAAAATGGGCACCTTGCAATGAGTGCCATCCATAACTTCAATGAAGCTCTAGCTAACCTTTCTTATTGAAAGGTAATTGGATTTTGTAGGTGTATATAAAAAGGTAACTTATTGCCATAATACAGTTCTAACAATCTACCGTAAAAAACAGAAAACAGTTCTAGCAGAAAAATTCTGGAAAGAGACAATAAGGATTAGATTTTATTTTTGTGGACAGTAAAGTTCCACCATAATGGAGACATCTTAGGTACAGCAGAGGATGCAAATACTTGCCCAGAATAACTTGAAACCATGCAGTTCTAACAGAATTATTCTGGAAAGAAAGACAATGAGGTTTAGACTTTATATACAGGGGCAATACAATGGAGACATCTTAGGTATTGTAGAGAATGCAGATATGTACCTCATAGAATTTGGCAAAAATTTCTTAAATCAATTTGTCATCCAAGCACTTATGGATTGAAAAAAAAAAGGGAAAAAAGACCCCCCCGCTGCCCCCAAAATTAAAAATAGAAGTCAATGCCATGAAGATCTTAGATAGCTCAGGTCTGATATTGTTAGAGGAAAAGAACAAATATAGGCTTGTAAATTGAGACAGAAAGAAGATTTCGTGGAACAACAGGGTGCAGTGTGTGCAGTATTTTGAGCTTCAGACCAGAGAGATGTTTGGACCATTTCAAATCATCACCTATGCCTTTTACTGAGTTTAATCATTTCTGAACCATTAGCCCCTTGCATAGCCAAAACTATTCATATAATGAAAAACCATCTGATTAGAACATCCATGAATCAGTTTGAAGAATGATTTTCTCGCTTTTTAAAATCTTTTTTGCAACTTTTTAACAGTGATCTTTCCCTCATCATATTAATAAGTTTACTGATATCAAGATGCATACTTGCTCAACCAAATTGCTGAGATGAGTGATTCAGCCTATGTCAGAATATTTGAAAATTGAATTATAAATTACTAATTTAACTTGTCACAGAGTATAAAAGAAACTCATGTACTTACAATTGGCTTAAAATTGGGACTAGATAAATTGACTGTAAGGTTTCTCATTAACAATAGGGCCTGCAAAAGGTTATTTATGAAAACAACCAAAAGCAACCCTTTAATGTCCTAATGGATATGAAATGATTTCATATTGATCAAATGAGAATACAAAATAAAGCATTAACCATGCTTCTAGATGGAATACATCATTCCAATAAATCTTAAGATTAGAAAATGAGTTAAGAGGATTGATTATCTAGCTAGCTGGTAGGTTGCTAGGGGGACTGGTGCTGGTGGAGGCAAGTGGGGGGGGGGGGGGTTCTTTGCATTTTCCTATCTTGTTGTATTGTACTTAGAATATTACTTTAAAATAGTATCTTGCTGTACCATTGGAATCCTCCCTTGAGTAAGTTAGCCATGAAGGAGCTGAGGATTCAAGCAAAAATCATATTGTCTGATGAATTCTGGTTTAAACGGGAAAGGTCCTTGAAGGTGAAGGAATGGAAGAAGGGGTTCATTTTGCTGGCAGGTGATGTAGTCAAGTGGTTGAAAAGCTTTTTCAAAGAAGCTATCAAAAACAGAAAAGAGTTGGAGTGGAGGGATTTTAAGGAGAAAGAGAAAAGGACTGTTTTTTTGAGAGAGAAGAAGAAACGAGAATGGCAGCTATATAACCTTTTACGAGTTCTTTGAAATTGGAAGGAAATGGTGTTTCCTTGAATGAAGAGAAAGCGGAGGTTAGTGGTTTTTGTCAAACAAAGGTTGGAGGATTGGTAAAAAGTTGGCAATGAGATGACAATTACTCAGGAGAAGGAAGAGAAAGTGAAGGTTACGGGAATACTTGGTAAAGACTGGAGAGTTACCTACAATAGCAAGCACCGTGAGTAAAGGAAAGATGACAATTATTCGGGAGAAGGAGCTATGGGAGCAAAGGTTAGTGGTTTTTGTCAAACAAAGGCTGGAGGATTGGTAAAAAGTTGGCAATGAGATTTGAAAAGCATTAGGCATTAAAGGGATGATGATTATCTGATTATCTCTCCATTTGAGAAAGGTTAAGTGTTATTAGATTTGTTGGATTACAAGTTAGAAGTTGTTGCAGTGTCTGTTCAAACAGAGGAAAGCTAAATGCTGATTTCAATATGGTGGCCAACCTCTAATGCCAGGGATTTGCAGGTCGAAGATGACATGACTGTAAGAATATTAGGTCTTCCTCCTTTCATCTTTGGTTGTACAAAACGTTCAAGTCTCTTGCAGTGGTCTGTGGGGATTATCTGATTGGTATTTTCTTGAACAATCTCCATTCAACAACCATGAGATTCAATGGTGTAACATCACAAGGAAGGTCAAGACCCGAGGGTATGAAATTTTCTCTATAGCTCATGACCTCCATTGAAGCAGAGCTATGGAAGATGGGTCATAGAGAGGTGGAAGATGGAGCATTAAGGAGCTAAAAGTGGTCGGAGAATTCAAACAGTAATAGGACTTAACCTTTTTGGAAAAACAATCTTTGGAAACAGAAAAGACCAGGAAGTTTGTGCCAAGAAGAGAAGCTTATTTAATGAAGGGGAACAAGTGCGTAGCTTCATGTTTAAGCAGGCTTTGACAAGTGGTTATAATGATAAGTTGACTTAAGTATAAAGATAGCATGTTAGAGAAGCCAAAGGAGAATGAATTGGGACACCTTGTGTCAGTTCATGGGAATTAACCGCAGTGATTCACATGACAGTTTTTAGTGTGCATGCAGGTGGGTTAGAGATTGGGTCTTGAAGCGGGCCATTTATTTCTTCTATGCTCAGCAGGGAGGGTGCACTTGCCAGTTTAAGTGGATATTTGACCAATTTCAAATGGACAATTGATAGACTAGATCATTGGTCTATTATCGTCTTCCTCAACAGTTCAATACTTTTGTCTTTTGGAGGAGTGTTGAAGGGGAAAAAAGGGCTACGACAGGGATTGTGGAGTTCTCGTCCCCAAACAAAGATGGATTTATCTAGTGCATAGCAAAATACAGAACTGAAGCTGAGAAGGCATCTCCAGAAGTCAGACATGTTGCTCCTATATGTAGCATAAGAAAGGAGAACTCTGTTTATCTATTTAATAGGGGGAGATTATTTGTCTGTAGAGATAGTAGTTGACAGGGGAGATCAAGGGAGAAACAACTTCGGCAAGACAAGGGCTGAGATTGTAAATGTATTGGAGAGCCTAGTAGCAGTTGGAGGGCAGGCACGCACTGGTGGAACCACAAGTGGAAACGTAAGGGCTCAAGTGGCAAGTTCAAAGGAATGCCAAAGGATTTGGAAGGAGGGGGGGGGGGAGAGAAAGTTTAATGGTTTTGACAGAGGGGGAGTTCCCAGTTGGCAAGGTCTAGTGAGGAAGTTGGAGAAAAGGGCAAGAAGGTGGAAGCTATTAGGGAAGAAGTTGGGAGTGTTTCAACAGCATTGAGAAGGGTGGCTATAATTAAAATTGAAACATTATTCATTCACATATACAATGTTTGAATTGGAATAGGACTGCATCCATTGCTGATGCCAACTGGTGTGGCAATGTCAATTTATACATCTAAACATCAAAGTTTATGACAGAGGATCTGCTTTTCATTCAATCATGTTGCTAGCAGACAGAGTCCTCCAGCCACCCATGTCTACTGGTCTAAAATCAACCTGGTATAACATCAGGACAATAGCGCCATGAAGCATGCTCTTGGTGCAACGAAGCCTCTCTTTTCTTAATTATCACATTCACTATCCCTGTATTCCTGTAGCAGACCAGGGCCACTGATTTGGATGCCTCTGTCTAGAGGAAGATAATGGTAGGACAACATAAATATGCCAAGATCCCATTGAAGCCTCTGTGATCAGTATACCCAGAAGTGTGGGTAATTGGGTATTAATTGGACTCCCTCAGTGGGATGAATGCGCTGTCTATGGAGCAGAATGAAGGGTTACTTCCAAATTACCTAGTTTGACAGAAGATATAGCCTTAAATAGAGTTGTACTATAGAAGAGGATTCATGTAGCTAACCCAAAATAATTGGGTTTAATAGTAAAATACATTTATGCCATAAATACAGTACATGAAGCATTTGTGTACAATTGTGAACCAAGAGCAAGGAGTACAACTGTACAACAAAAGATTCTGACCCAGTTAATATTCACACCCTAACAAATTCACATTCATATTTCATTCTTAATACACTACCAAATTCAGACATCTAGAGTACCCAAGATTAAACTAAGGAAAACTTCATAAATCTACTTTTATTGTTCGAATGCCTTCCAGTTCAAGATTTTTGAACTGCCTCTTTCATCCAATTCAAAAACACCTTTCTAACAAACTCTTCACCCCCTCAAGGATTTATCTCAGACTTTTACCTATTCAACTTCTTTATCACTCAACCTTCTAACGCCCATCTTTTTGCCAATCTAAACAACGTCATGAATTAAAATATTACCTTCAGTATGTTTCTGTTCCACTAATTCATTCTTCCTAAGCTGATCTTGAGCATTTCTCCCTCTTCTACAGAACAAACCTCTAAAATATCCTTTCCACAGATGGATGCCCAAAATGTAATCTATCCATCAATGACCCATCACAACAGGGTTCTACTTTTACTCATGCATGTCTGTTTGGCAAGGCAGGAAGGAGTCCTCTTGTATCTTTGGCTATGATTGTAGGTTTTTTTTTTAACAACTGAGAAAATCATTTGACAGAGCCTTTATTTCCCAAAGGAACAGTTACAAAATAACCCAACAAATTAAAGGAAAATTGCCAAAGCTGTATTTATGGAAATGGTTGAAGTCTGGATGTATCTCAGTAGAAATATCAGAACAAGAGATGGCATGTTGATCTAGGAAAAGAACACTAATCATTCTACTAGCTGAGAGTTGTTTCATATTGTTGTTAATAGCATTACAAAGATACTCCAAAGGTTCTAGTCTGGTATGTAAATTGCATAAATGCATGCATATGTTACACTTGGAAGGTAGTGACAGTACTTGTAGGGGTGTCAATGGACCGATTTTGAGTTGGACCCCATCTAAATCAAAATCAATTTGTACGGACTGGATAGACACTGACCAAGACATAGAATTGGACCAGTCTAGACTTAATGGTCCAAAGTATTTATTGGATTGGATTGGACCTGGTCCATCCATAATGGATTTATATTGGATTGAGTTTTGAACCAATATCCCGTTGTAGATGGAAGGCAAGATCATGCTACGGAAAAAATCCTTTGTCATTTACAAACTTCACTAATCACTACTTATTCACCAGTAGCCACTTGTGTCATTTGATTACAATGGAAACTATTTTCACATCAAGTAAGATTGGTTATCACTTCTAAGTACTAACCATCATGCCCCTTTTGTTATTTGATCACTATGCTATATATTTTCACATGCTTTGGAATTGTTTAGGCTCAGTTTGGAAGGAGTAATGCAAATTTGTAGAGTGCAAAACCTTATATTTTATATTATTTTGTATGTATTTGGACTGTACATATTTGTATTTGTAAGGCTCAGTTTAGAAGAAATACAAATACAAATATATACAATATAAATACATACAAAATACAAGGCTTTGCACTTATATTTGTATTTGTACTCCTCCCAAACTGAGCCTTATTGTTCATGTTATTTGCCCTTAAAAAAATAATTTTCTGATAACAAGATACAAAAAAGGCCATGACCCACACCCTAGCGTTTGCCCGTCTCTTGTGTCATGTCACGTTAATGAATGATGTTGGGATACTTTATACTTACAAATGGCTTTATTTATTTATTTCTTTCCTCTCCAACTTATCCCATCTAAATTCTAAAATAATCAAAGGAAAACAAATTTTTGTTTATCGCTTCCGTGGAAACCCCATTCTATGCAGTGGGACTGAGGTGGGAACTCCGTCTTTGTTGTTTCCGGCAAGCAAACACCCTGAAACTCGTTCTTCACAATTAGAGGTGTAAATCAGGCTGGGCCGTTAGTACGATTTTGGACTGGCTCGGCACGGCTCAGCACGAAGGCTCAAGGGCCATGCCACTGGCATGAAGGTCTGTGCCGTGCTGGGCCGGGGGTTTGAGATCTATGGATTGGCATGGCATGGTACGATAATTTGTGCCGTGTTGCTCGCGGCTTGCGTGTTGTCATGGCCCCTCACAAGCCGGCACTGGCACGGCTCGTGGGGCCTGTAGTGGGCTGATCATGGCCCGCTCGGTTTGGGGGGGGTTCAAAAATACCCCTCCCCCCCTCCCCCTAATAGCTATAAACAACCATATTAGAGGGTATTTGTGTATTTTGCATATGGGGGGTTAAAAAAATAACATAAATGCCCCCCTAACAGCTATATAAAAACTAGCTATTTATTACTTTTGGGCAAAGTAATAAATAACTTTACAATGACCAAAATACCCCTCCCAACAACTAAATAACAACTAGTTTTTTAGATATTTTGGGTAATTGAATTATGTTCAATTCCTATAAATAGCCCTATCCTCCACCATTCTCATCACACATCACCAATTCAACAATCAACATTCAACAATTCTCTTATTAAGTTATTCTCGTAATCTCTTCAGTCTTTCCTCTCTTAGTCTCTTAGACTCTCAGTCTCTCATACATTCTCTGCAATATGAGTGAACTCTGATAGTCTCATAGTTTGATTGTCTAATTGTCTGATTCTCCAAGTTAGCAATTTTGGAGCCTTGGATGTTGTTATTTCAAACCGTTGAAATCAAGTTGGGATTCTAAATCGGCAATCCCGGGCAAGTCCAATTAAATTAATTTTATTTTTTTAGAATTTGAAAAAAATGGACAACTCTTCCCAAAACCCCAAGTTTAGTAGCCCGATTTGGAGAATATTTAAAATAGAGGATGTTGAGGGGAAGGGGAAAGAGTAGTTTGCCAAAAATGTAGAAAATACTTTAGCTATTGTAGCAAGGGTGGTACTGGTCATTTGATTAGACATTTTCTCGCACATGAGAAGGAAGAAGAAATAACCCACAATTTAAATGAACTTTTGAAATAATGGAAAATAAATTTTAAAAATATTGAGAGAAGTCGGAGTCTTGGAGAACATTTCTCACCGCCAATCCTGCCATGGCACGCGATCCATGATCTACTAACCCCTCCAGTGTCTACAGGTTACTGGCTATAGTTCCATCAGAGTCTTGTTTAGTTGTTTTAGTGCAGGACCTGCAGGTACCACACTACCACTGTACCAGGGTTGGCTAGATCATAGATGCAGTCATGAATCATGATGCAAAATATAGATTACAGCTTTACAATTACAAGACAAAGGAGGGTATGATACTACTTATTACACCAGATATTTCATTTTTCACCTGAAGCAGATGATGAAAGTGTGTGAATGCTTTTATCATAATGTGTATGTAAATTTTGTTTAAATTGTAAATTTTAACAAATAACCCACAATTTTTTAATTTTTTAAATTATTGTAAAGTTTGTTTTAATTTTATTTAATTTATTTGCTATTAATGTAATTTTGTATTTTCCATTTGTAACTATATAGTCTATATTGTATTTTTTATATTTTATTAATTTATTCTATTTTCATATTTCATTCATCCAAGTATGAAGTATGATTTATGAAGTATCCAACCATTGCATATTTCATAATTTCAATATTTATATAATTGTATGCTTTGCAATTTGTATCATTATTCTGTATTCATTCAAATTTAAATGAAATAAAATTCTTAAATTGCTAATTGAATTATTTTATACTTTTATTTATTTATTTTTGGGTAATTGTAAATTCATTATTATTCATATCTTGATATTAATCCATTCAGTCTAGTCCGGTTCGGCCCAGGCCCAAAGCCCACCCTGTGGCCCAGCCCATTCCAGGCCTGCAGCACGGCATGGCATGACATGGACCCGTCTGGGTCTGGGTCGCGCTGGACCGACCCCCAAAATTTCCACCGGGGAGGGTGGCATGGCCCATGACAGCCCACGGGCCAACACGGCACGGCCTGGCATGGCCCACTTTACACCTCTATTCACAATGGAACCAAGGTAGGAACTCCATCCTCTGTGTCGTCTTCATCATCTACGGCGAACCAGAAAATAGAACAATTCCCCCCTCAAAGCAAATGCAAGTATCCTTGTCATATTCTTTACTGGTCTCTTTCCATATGTTTTACGTGTCAATCCATTATATAAGATATTTAAATATATGCAGGCCGGAATGGGTTTTAAATGTGTTCGGCCCAGGCCCGACCCTGAAATTTGTGGGCCTGATGTGGCCTGGGCCCGGGCTGAAAATGATCTCCCCTTCCTTATATATTTTGTTCAATAAGCGATTAAGACTCAGGACCGAATACGTCTATCAAGTGTGGATCTTTTTCTTTTCTTCCAAACTAAACCTGGCAATTGGGTTCGGATTGGGTCAAGATATTTTGGGTTGATTTTGGATTGAATTGTCAAATGTTAGACCTTAACTCTAAATGTTTGGGTTAAGGTTAACCCATGGGTCAATTTGGCCCCAAAAAAACTAAAATTTAAAAAAAAAGAAAAAGATGTGAAAATTGTTAAAATTAAATTAAAATTCTAGAAATAAAATAAAAAACTTGAACATTTAACAATTCAAAGAATAAGCAATAAAAAATAAAGATTAAATAATAAAAATTAAAAAGTGGAACTTCTAACAATGCATAAATAATCCCAATTAAACCTAACAATTGGGTCAGTGGATTGATCTATGACCCAACCTAACCCAACTTTTTTGGGTTGGGTTGGGTCCAAACCATCAGTCTACTTTCATCCCGCTTACTGTTACGCTTAGGCAGCTAAGACCAATTGGGCTTCCGCCACTTGGTCCATTAATAGAAAAATATGGAGGAGCAAACTACTCCACAGCCCATCAGTTATCCGCCCTCGTATCTGGCCAATAGCGCGAGAGCCCATTAATAAAACCATCAGATGGCAGGCAAGAGAAGAGGCAACATACCATTAGTACCGGTAAACATTCAACAACGAGGTGATTAAGTGGAGGTTTTATTCACCGATTCATTGTTTTATTGCAAGCCAAATCAGAGCCTAGTTTTTGCCAACGGACCAAGTGATTGGGGTTTTGGGCAATCATCTTAAGCTTAAGAAGGTTTAAAAAATACGTGCATTCTTTTTTGCAGATGCTGAGTTTTGTGATTTGTTTTTTGGTGGTCTTTTGCCCAAAAAGAAAAAAACTAAATAAAGGGTTCACGGTTCACGTAAGGAGTCTACAGGCCGAGAGACAATCAGGTCAGGAAATGCAAATAAATATCTTATTTTCTATCGTTTGCAGCAAAACAGAACAAAGTCTCCTAGAAGAAGAAAGCAACTATAATCTAATCTAAATCACTTCTATAAAAATATTGTTTTTGTTATTTTATCTACAACAAGAAAAGCCGCTGGTCACACTCTAGACCAAAATCTAGTGCTCTGAGACTAAGAAATTGTGTCCATTACTGACAATTGCGGTAAATTCCATCCTGATGCCATCCTTCCATTATCTGCTGCTTAGCATGATTTGAATCAATTTCCACTGCCTCACCCTTCCCTTTACGGCTTTACTGCTTTGCCTGCATTACAAGTGCAACAGTATTTCAATAACTTCAGCATACTCGATAGCTCAAAAGTCTGATTAAATGAGTTGAGAATGGAGCTAACGAGAAATAATAATATGATGTACACAAGTAAAATTGATGGCGTTTTATTTATTTCCCTACTCCCAAGTGGATCGGTTTCTCCAAAAGGTAGACGGCTTGTTTTCAGCCTTTCATCTGGGGGATCCTTTACACACCACCAAGTGATATCTTATATAACATTTACGTGCAGACAAATCGAATTTTGTAATTTTGTTCACTTATCTGTTGAAGCATTGTGGTCCAGGAGAAGAAAAACCAAGGGCAGTTTACTACTTTACTCCTATAAAATCGGTTTAGAAATTTCCAATGAAAATTTACCTGGGAGTAAAGGAAAGTTCCGAGGATTGCGATGGCAGCTCCCAGAGCATTGATGGGCTGGACAGGTGTGTGGAAGATGATAATAGAAGAGACAATGACAGATATCCGCTTCATAGTATTGCCAATGCTAAATGTCAATGGGGAGATCTCGTCGAGCGACATGTATGAGACTTGATTGTATAGGTGGTAGAACACACTTTGGGCTGCCACCCACCTGTCATATATAAGACAGCCACACAACCACAAAAAAAAAAAAAGGTTCCTTCAGTTCAATAGGATATTCAATGAGAATAAGAAATTATGTTGGGCTAGGAAACAAAATATCCATTGGGAAAGATGTCAAATTTTCAAAGTTGACACTTCAATAATACACATTCAGCCAAAAGAAGAGGGCACAGAGATATTATGCATGAAAAAGTAAGTGATTGGGAAAGGAAAGCAAAGTAGTAATGACAAAGAGAAGTCCAGGTCCATTATTGGAAAATGAAAACCTTTGAAACAAAAATCAGTTTTTCCTTGCAGGTAATTTTACTATCAGATATTTCAGAAAACAGAAACCAATCAATAAACCGTAAAAAGTGTAAGCTAAGCTAGCAAGGAGCTAGTGTGTTATTGAAGACAATAAACCTTATATTTTCATGATCATTTTGTATACAATACAGTATTTCACTCATTTTACTGGGTATCATACCACAAGCTACATGGGGAATTAGATAATTATGAATTCAAGATCAACCCGCCCAATTTACGGCTAAGGCCGGGTTGGAGGCAGAAAACAAACTTTTCACCTCTCTTAATAGAGAGTATAAGCTTTTATTTTGGGGTGGGATCACACCAATAAGCGATTATTTGTGTTTGGGAAATAAGTTCACTTAAAAATAACCTTAAATTTTGGGCTTATTTTTAAGTTATTAATTCGCATGTCATTTTGAAAATACCTAAATACTACCCCTGTTTGAAACAATTGCTCGTGTACTAGAATAATCACTCCCAAAACGATATGGTTTTTCTTCTTTCTTTCTCGGCTAGGGGCCCGGGGCACCGTAGAACTTACTTGCTCCTTTTATTTTCCTTACATCTTTTTACTGTTCTTTTTTTTCCAAGCAACTACATTCCATATTGACAACGAGAGTGACTTTTTAACTAACTTATCATCAATAAGCAAGCAGAACAAGAAGGGTTCGATGTGCGGTTACCATATGAAATTCGGTCCAATTTGAGAGAGTGCTCTTTGCCAGCCATCTGCCCACATCTGTGGACCCTCTACAGCAATGGCAAAAGGTGTGAGAATCAACAGAGACAACATAGAGAGACAAGCATAGTAGTTCATGCCACTGACGGACTTCCCCTTCATCCCTCTCTTTGAGAAAATGTTTCGGAATACAAAGGCCAGATTCGATATCATAGCGCCCATGAACCCTGACAAAAACATAGACAAACAATCAGTGTGCAAAAATAGATAATACAAAAGCTAATGGTTAATTACATCTAAAAAATACCGTACCCACCCACCAAGGCACCAACCCACCCAACTAAACTTTTCCCCAACGACAAAATTCAAATCAACCCTCTGCTGAGAAACCGAATTGACCGAAGAAAAGAAGGAAAAACACAATTTCGCAACCGGAAGAAGCTAAGTCCAGTGCAGTGCAGATTCGCGGAGTTGAAAATTTTTATTTTCCAAAATCAAATTCATAAAAATACATGACAGTTTTTAAGATCAAGGAAGTTAGAATTTAAGAGCCAAATATCTTCAAAGTCTGAAGAAGAGAACTATGATTACCAGTCATGTTGAAGTTTAGCTCAGTGACCGCGGCGAGTGCACAACCACCGATAATCGGCACAAGAGACAGATAAACCGGCACCGGGAACGTTTCACCCAAGAGAAACCTTGAAACCAAGACGCTAAAAGCAGGTTCTCCGCTCTTGATGATATGAGTGAACGAAACCGCAACTTTCGACATGCTAACCGTTGCTGCGACATGGCCGATGGTATGCGCCACAGCGACCTACAGAACACAAGAAATCAGAGATAAAGCTTTAATACCAAATCCCCTAAGATAAGCGAAAGAAACGAAAAGAACCGCGGCTAAATTGCTAAGAAAAAGCACCATTCGCCTTACCGGGAATAGGGTTTTCCAGAATTCCAAATCGGTCTTCGGTGTTTCCGCGATTCTCGTAGCCCACGAAATCAGCATCATCAGTGATCCAGTTGCGAGAGACAGGGTGGAGGTGAGCCATGGATATGGAAAGGCGTTCAGGACTTTCTTGTTGTAGATGTTGAAAACAACGTTCAGAGCCCACCAAGTTGCGAAGTATATACCAATTTTCAGCTTCTGAGCTGCCGCGGACCGAGCCGTCTGGTCGGGGATTTCGACGTTGGCGTCTATTGGATCTGACCGATCGGCTTCATACGCTTTGCACTCATTAACCGAATTGCGAGGTCTTTCACCTTCGAAAGAACGAAAACCTTGAAGGGAAGAAATATACAGGGGTTTACGGGCCGAAAGACCGAAATTAGGTCCTTTTGCAATGGAAACGGGGGAAAGCAACGAGAGTCGCGATTGCGAAGTCGGTGCATTTGGCCTTGATTTTGAGAGATCGGAAACGGTGAGAATGGCTGTCGATTGCCTCACAGAGCACATCATCTTGACAGTGGATATTGAGATATTCAACTAAAAACTAGGCGATTCGACAAGAAACTGCAAATGGACGACCAAACGAGACAAAAAAAAAAAAGATGATCTTGAGCTTATATAATCACTTATTAACCATAAACCAAAGTTGAGTGAGAAGATCGAATCACAAAAGAAAACTCAAATTTCCTAAGAAAAAGAATTACCTGCAAGAACCGATAAAAGCAGGAGATCGATCTCCGTTAATTGACCAAGAACGACAAAACTCGAAAATGAATTGATCTTTATATGAAACGCGTTCAATAAACGATGATCTGATGTTTTCCGAGAATAAAAGACGATGATAGTTCAGCAAATCAAGAAATGAACTGTCCTCAATCGATTCTCCCTATTTGTTAACGGAGGGAGATCCCCAGTGTTCTTGTCGACGAATGTTCTGAAGCAATCTTTCGAAACCAGGAAGCGCCCCGTTTTCATTCAAATCAAATTGTCGAAAATCGGAAGCAGTGGTTGTTATCGCCGACCGTCTCCAACGGATAGGCCGAGAGACCGATTAGAAGAAAAACATTCAAACAAAGAAAATTTGGAAGAAAAAAGATCAATAAGGTGGAAAATCTTTATAGAAGTAAGACTCAAAAGAGAAACGAATCAGGAAACAGAGAACCGAAAGGCGAAAGCTTTTTCGGAGAAGAGAGTAAAGGGGGCGATCGTTCAGCTCCGAAACGTGGAAAGAGAAAAAAAGAAGGTCAGATTTATAAGCGAGCGAAGCGGCAGAAAAAGGCAAAACATTCCCATAATACCAATAAAGTCCCTATACGTCTTTAGAATGACTAGAAGATTCCCAGAACGGGTCATAAACTCATAATCACACCTCATGAGTTATAACTTTTAAGTCTTATGACCCGTCGGAGCCTCGGAGGGAGACCCGAATTGAGAACTACTGAGGGAAACAACAGCGTAAGAAAATCACGTTCTTCTGTTCTTTCCTGTAATTGGAAATGCATCGGGGATCGATCATGGGTCTTGGCAATGGGCCTTACGTCGGAGGCTCTGTGGGTGCAGGCCCACGTGACACTACATCCAAATTCCCAAATGGATCTGGGTCCCACAGATTTTTGGGTTGATCGTACATTGAATCGAGGTGGGAGAATCTTTCTTCAACGGGTAGGCGCCATTGAGTATCAGAGGATTAAAAAGATCTTACAACTTATAAGCAGGCCAAAATGGTTGGTCCTTAGCAGGGGATTTTTTCAGCGTGGGCCCCACCTCTCTAAAAGCAATTGCCACTTGTAGGCATGTGAGGTCGCCTTCTGGATTCTGGTGCTGGGCCCCGCAAATCAAGTATTATTTTAAGTCCAAAGGGAATCCCTTCACGGGAGAAGAGCTATTCTCAGCCGTCGAAAGAAATCTACTTGTCACCCTATGCCCCACTTTGATTTGGCACAATATTGTGCTTCCAATTTGGCAGGGGGACCCCTATTTTTTTATTTTTTTTATTTAAAAAAATCATATTCTGGTGTATGCCTTAACCCTTAATGACTTCTTTAGTACAAATTATTATTTTTTAAATATGAAAAAAAAAAGATCTAAGAGGGGTTTTTTGAAACCTTTTGTTAAATGGAGGAGTGTTGTTGTCTTTTAATTTTATGAAAAGATTTATTTATTCTTAACTTTAATTTCGTAGTAGGATGATTCCAGGCATAATTCTGTTTTACTGGTAGAAAGAGATAGATCTCGTCCTTTGTTCCAACTCTTTGAAGGAGAAACACGTGTTAAGTAGGTAATAGGGTTAGTTTCTTAATTCCAATTTCCTACCTGATCGATTGTACGATGGACTACGGCTGTAGAGCAGACGGCCCTTGTTTTCACGGTTGAAATGGAATCTCATGACTAAAATAATCCACCAACTCGGTATGACAGTGATGTAGAAACTTGTCTGTTACTTCAACAGTTTCACAGTGTTGTTGGGATCATCTACAAACACGTTCCAATAGAATTGGTATCTGTTACTCACAAAGGGCGCCTCACAACCTCACAGGCACTTCCCACCGTGCATTGGTAACCGGATCTGCTCCTCACACCTGGTGCCTCACAGGCGCCTCACACCCATATCCTACCATGCATTGGGAACATCTCCCGTACTTATCAATTATTATTCATGGGAGATGTTCTCAATGCACGGTGGATGTGTATGTGAGGCGCCCATTTGTGAGGAGCAGATATTGTCTCCGTGCATTGCAAACATTTGCCGTAAATAATAATACATAAGTACAGAGATGTTCGCAATGCATGGCCTGTGAGGTCGGTGTGAGGCACCATGTGTGAGGAACAGATCCGGACACCCCTGTCTGCCCCCTTCAACATCATCTGGCACCTTACATCCCACTAATTCATCGAATTCGTATCTATGTCCCACAGAGCGTTGCCTCAAAAACATCTCACATCTCTTAATAATAAGTATGAAAGATATTTCCAATGCATGCTGATATGTGCATTTGTTTTTTAAGCACATTCTACAGGGCACAGAGATATGAATTCTGTTTTGAGATGTGAAGTGGAGAATCATATTAGGTGTTAGAAGGAATTGGGATTTGCTTATCGCAGAATGCACCTCACACTAATCTCACAGCCACATCCCACAGTGTATTAGAAACATCTTCCATGAATAACTTCTAATATTTTTTGTAGAGATATATTGTGAGGTTAGTGTGAAAAGCACTGTGCAAGGAGCAGATCCGGGACTCTGATTATCCACACTCATAATACTCGTAATTTTTACATTCCAGCTTCCGATGGATTCTATCGAGTGTTTGGAAAAGAATGATGGTTCGTACTCCATAGACTTTAATTTTAAGGGTGTTTGGTTTATAGTCAGAATTTGATTCGAGATTCCTTAAAATGGGAATTGAGATAGTCTATTCTCCTCACACCTGTTTGGTTTGGATTAAAATTAGAATTAGAATATCATTCAGAATCGAAATTAAAATTAGAATTAGAATCAGAATCGAAATTGGCTGGAATAAATTTTTATTCAGAGGGAATGGACACTCCCTCAAATGGGAAAATACCATTCCACCAAGAATGGGAATAAGGTACAGCATGGTTTCTAAAACTGACCCGGTGATCGAATCAGTCAGGGGTCTGGTTATCAGTCGGACAGTCTGACTGTTCGAACCAAATGCTCGGTCCGTTCTGACAAAAAAATAAAAAAATAAATCAAAAAAATAAAAACCTTTTGAACAATTAACTGCCCAGTTCAGCGGTTTACTGACCAAAATCAAGGATTTTGGGGGGGAAATCCGGTTTTTGGGAAAACGGAATTAATCACCTGACCGATTCCCGATTTTTCTGGTCTGATTGTCCGGTCCGATCAAGTTTTAAAAACCATGAGATACAGGTTCTGCCCAAACTTCTGGAAGCATGTTCTCACGAGGGAACGAAACGGATTAATGTGTTCTTCGTTACCAAACATATTTCTATCCATAAAAACATTTGAAACACCAAAACATTCTTGTGGAAACACCAAAATATTTCTATCCATACAAAATTGAACGGAGTAAATTAACATTCGATGTAGCTTTCTACCATTTGGAAACTTACACCAATGTAAAAAAAAACAATGACCGTTTGATTATGGATTGTGCCATTTAACATCTAAACATATGCCTATAACATTTCTGGACCGTTACAGTTTGATTGTGGATTGTGGATTGTGCATTTTTAGAGATGGCTCACAAACCTGCCTCCGAGGTTGCTGCTCAGTCCCTAGATCTGAATTTCACAGAATACTACCATCGTCACCCCTAAGCTCAATTCTAAGCCCTCCAACACCGTAGCCGCTTCCCGATACAACTTTTCCACCGTCACCACTTCCTCTCTTTTCCTCAACACCCAATTCACCAATCATGAGTCTCTCCCTTCCTTCTCTGATTCTTTCCCTCACTTCAATAAGGCCTACCCTGATTTCTCCTAGACCCATTTGGCTGACCACATCAGAGTCTAGGAATACTCAAGGTTCTAAATATTGACATGGGTCGGTATGCTGGTGTCAGTGTTTTTTTTTATGTTTCATTTTTTTTTTCAAAATTGATTCAGAGGGGCCGGTTTAAGGCCCAGCTATCCTTTGAACCAGTGGCTGATTCGATACAATCCTTGTAGGGGAGTATCAGGAAGCCACCAACATGATATGTATCAGTCGATACAAGCTGATACATGTCAATACTTTGAACCTTGGGAATACTACCACCGTCACCACTTCACTGAAATATTCACTGAAATTCAACAGAAAAATGAACTAAAATTCATAAAAAATTCACTGAAAAAATTTCACATAAATATTCACTGAACTTCTATAGAAAAATGAACTAAAGTTCCACAAAAATCCACTGAAATTCCACATAAAAATTCACAGAAATGTTCATTGAAGTTCTACAGAAAAATGAACTAAAGTTCCACAAAAATACACTGAAGTTCCACATAAAATTCACCAAATTTTCACAGAAATATTCACTGAAATTTATGTCTGCATAGGTTCAAAGACAAGGTGTCAAACAACAATTGATTGTTTATGACACTTGGTAAAGTGGGTGAAAAGTACTTCCTAAATGGGTTGGGTCTGGTTCAAGAGAGGTTGGACTGGTCTTGAACTGATTATTGATCAGTTCTATCAAAAAGACCTAGGACTAAACAAATTATTAATTGGGATAATTAATAATTATACTTGACATCTATAATTACCTATTATATAACAACTTGGGACTTCATTTTTGATAATATAACCGTAAGAAAAATGATATTAAACAGAAAGTTGTTTATATGTTGATAAACAAATGCTTTAAATAAAAAGAATATATATATACCGTCTATTAAATTTACTGTTTTAGATATAAAATATAACAAAAATTAGAAAAAAGAAACAAAACATGAGATCCTTATATATCATTAATTATATATTGGATCAGAACAACAAAAACCAGTCTTGACTCAATTATAATTAGGACAAAACTCAGAACCAGAACTAATATAATCAGTTGGGGTTCTATCAGGCAGACCCAACTTAATTGATATCTCTAGTGATTATTTTGAGGCCTTATTCTTCACTGGAATGTATGTAGAAAGCATTGAAGCCAATTTCCAGAACAGGGGATTATAATTTTTCAAAATTCCCGGCATATGAACACCTTCTATGTTTCTTTTATTGGATTAAAGTATTAACAGAAATAGAAAAGTCGAAAATGGACTTTTATTGGATTAAAGTAATAAGAAAAGGTACACATGATTTTGTATATGCATCAAACTTGCTATATACCCCCCCACACCACACACACAAAAACACACACTATTTGATCCATAGCAACAAAATACTATCGTACTGAGCAATCAAAGATGTTAAGAAGAAAACAGAACTTGATGCAGCACGATCTAGGCACTTCTAGCTGGCTGAAATCTAGCTTCTAGTTGTGACAGACAGTACCTGAGACGGAGAGGAACGTGAAGGATTCCCGGGGAGCTCTCACGGTAGGAACACTCCGATGGCTAAGTTAGAACTCTGAGAAAACTCAAGGAAAACACAAAAAGAATTAAGAGTGCTGAAAGTGCTAGCTTCAATACCTTTGCTTCGCGAGGGTCGGGGTCCTCTTATATTGGAGCTCAGTCACATCAGGCGTAACCGCCACTTCCCTATCCGTTACTGCCAGGGCTGAAGTGGTGGGTGCAGGCTGCTACTGCAGGGTACGGACTCG